AAAAAAAAAAAAAAGTCTGCAAGTAATGCATTTTGCTAGCCTGTTTTTGACTTGGCAACTCTTAATTGGCTGCAAATGAATCCTTAACGCTTTTAAGACTTTTTAGAGGTGACTTTGGGAGGTGGGGATGAGTCGTCTTGCATCTATGAAGTGTAGAGCTGAGTGGTAGTTCTTGTTAGTATTGTCGGGCTAGCGTGGAATCTCTGTGCAAATGTTAGGTTAGCTTATGGGACTTTAAGTGAAATAGAAAAGGGAGAGAGGACATGAGTAAGGAAAATACAGTTTTATGACTAAATGAACCGGCGTTGACTTCAGCCGTCATGCAGCCCTCATAGGTGCCACTAGTAAAACTCTACATCTCTCAAAGTTGGATTTGAAAGGAGAGGTTGGGTAATTAATTCCCCGCTTAAGATGCAGCGTTATGGAAACCTGCCAAGATCAGATGATCACCAGAGTTGGGGACATCACTTCTAGAAAAAGCTAAGGCAACAAAGTGGCTCTGTAGGTCTTGGGGGACAAAGCAGTGGAGCATCTGGAAGATGAGACCAAAGCTCACATAGTGCCCTGGGAAGGGAGTGAAGATAGCAGTTGTGTTGAGTGTGAGGCTTGGAGTGTAAAGCTGCGGAGAACCAAACTTTTTGTTTGGGGCTACATCTCACTCCTGACTCCAAGCCTGCTCCTGGACTGCTTCTAGATAGTGTGGTAAGTGTTGGACAAGTGGGCGTTGATGTGAGTTTTTTTTCTCACAAAAAAGATTGCTATGCAAATACACAGACTATGCACAGATTATTAACTCATTTCAAGCAAACAGGTTCAAAAGGAGACTACGTAAGGTAACAGAGGCTAGATTCATCAGACTCTTAAGTGCGTTGGATCTAGCGCACTGTCTGAGTATGGGAGTAATATGCAAGGAGAGAGAGAGATCTATACTCACCTTGTTACCCATAAGCTTGGGAAAAGAGCGGTCAATTCCAAAAGTATATTTCTAGGATGCCCTGGGGCACCTTAAAGTGCCCTCTTGACTGTAGAAGAAAGAGTATGGTGGTGTGTGGTTTTTTTTCTTTTACACTCTAAACTAAAATGAAGTATGTTTGGATACAAGTCTAAAAATATTTTGCCCATGTTATTAATCATTGTGTAAGTGCACAAGCTAGAAAATACAGTTGAATAACTTGGACAATAAATGGAATTAAGTGGAATAAGTAAATAATGAAATGCCAACTGGGCTGTAGTTATCACTGCCAAAGAAATATTTCTGAAGTTTAAATTAAATTAAAAAAAAAAAAAAAGCTGCAATGTTAGCCTTTAGAACATGACAGAGATTCAGGTTACGCTTACAGCTTTTCCTGTGTTGGCGCCTGGTTGTATAGTGCTACTATTAACACTTGGTTTCTCCGCTTTGCGTGGAAAGAGCCAAGCATTAGTTTCAGCTTATTATTTCTTAGTGCCTGTCACTGTCAAGCGATCCTGGAGCCCTTTAGAGGACTGGGGTTGGAAGCAGTAAAATCAGTCTTTAGGGCATACATAATAAGAATGAAGCAAACTCCTGCGCTCTGCACCAAGATAAATTTAACATCAGAATTGTAATGCATGTGACCTCAAAGACTTGCTATAGCAAGGCCTATGCTGAAATAACACTCTAGCAAGGCATATAGTTCTGGAGGCTGTCTTTTGGTTTCCAAGGCTGTAATCTGTTGGCATGAGCCCATAGAACTTTCTGAGGATGGAGGAGAGACGTAGTTCAGGCACTGTTGTATTTCTGCTGAGAAGAGAAAAAAGTGCAACACTAGCAAATGCACCGTCTACTCTGCCTGTGTTGTCAGCCAGGCACTTCGGGAGTGACTCAGTTTCCTTTCCTTTGGTAAAGGATTAGTATGTGGAATCATAAAACTGAGCCTAAGAGGCCAGGGGCATAGACCTCCAGTGGTTGGATCACGTTGAATTGTCGACACTTGCTGATCTCTAATTGCCGAATTGATATCGTTGCAGGTTCAGGTCCAGGTCCAGCAGTCACCGCAGCAGGTCTCCGCCCAACAGCTCTCTCCCCAGCTCACTGTCCATCAAGCTTCAGAGCAACCAATACAGGTCCAAGTGCAGATCCAGGGCCAGGCACAGCAGCAGGCATCCCAGACAATACAGAGTCAATCTCTTCAGAGCCCCAGCCCGTCTCAGCTGCAGGCAGCTCAAATCCAAGTGCAGCATGTGCAGACTGCCCAACAGATCCAGGCTGCTGAGATACAGGAGGAACATATACAGCACCAGCAGATCCAGGCCCAGCTTGTGGCAGGGGGAGGCCCAGCAGATACAGATCCAAACAGTTGGGGCACTGTCGCCTCCACCTTCTCAACAAGGCTCTCCACGAGAGGGAGAGCGGCGGATCAGCACTGCTAGCGTTCTTCAGCCAGTGAAGAAACGCAAAGTGGATATGCCTATTACTGTATCGTATGCTATTTCAGGGCAGCCAGTTGCCACAGTGCTGGCCATTCCTCAGGGCCAGCAGCAAAGTTATGTCTCTTTAAGGCCAGACTTATTAACAGTGGACAGTGCCCACCTGTACAGTGCCACTGGGACCATTACTAGCCCCACTGGAGAGACTTGGACCATCCCCGTTTACTCTGCTCAACCACGTGGTGACCTTCAGCAGCAAAACATAACTCACATCGCCATCCCTCAGGAGGCCTACAATGCCGTCCACGTCAGCGGCTCACCAACAACGCTGGCTACCGTGAAGCTGGAAGACGACAAGGATAAGATGGTGGGAAGCACTTCGGTAGTGAAGAACTCGCATGAGGAAGTGGTGCAGACTCTTGCTAATTCCCTCTTTCCAGCACAGTTTATGAATGGCAACATCCACATTCCAGTGGCAGTGCAAGCTGTGGCAGGGACATACCAGAATACAGCGCAGACGGTGCACATATGGGACCCACAGCAGCAACAGCAGCAGCCCACTCCCCAGGAGCAGGGGCAGCAGCAGCAGCAGTTACAAGTCACTTGCTCGGTAAGCTGAACTGCTTCTTGGTCTCAGTCCTTGATTAATGACTTGCAAATGCTATGGAGAGAGAGGATATCTGCAGTCAGCTGGTATCGAGGAAGCAGAGATGTGTCTCATCCCAGTAGTCTGGGCGTGACATATGGCATTTGACTCCTGACAGATGTAGGACCGGGCTATGTTCATGCTGGAACATAATTATAAGATGCAAAAATTGAAAGAAGAAAGCTCTGTGTTGATCTTTGTAGTGTAAATAATAGATGTATGCTCATTGCTAGCTTCTTCATGGCAGGTACTCTGAGTTTTGCGGGGTTCTCCTGAGCCCTTCTAGGGATTGCAGTGGAAAGATAGGGACAGTTGCCGCAAAAAGTCATTTGTGCAAATACGAGTCATCTAGTCATCGGTTACTTTGCATCGTGCAGCATTTGGAGACCTTAGCAGATCTGTGCTTAGGTAAAGCGTTGAAATCTGACTGTCAGAGCTAACTTTATGGATTAGATGCATCTATCTGTAATGCTGCATCCTGTTTCCAGTAAGTGCCTGGTGGGCAAGAACACAGAAGCGAGCAGTGGCAAGTAAGCAAGCATGTCTTTGTAGAGTGCTTGGCAAACACAGGAGCCAGAATTGCTGCTGTTTTTTAAAGATTTTATTGCTATCTATAAGCCATAGATTATTTTAAGCTGGCTTTTAAAACTTGAATAATTAGGGCTGTTAACGCCCTGTCTTATATGTGCAAGGACGAGTAGTAGTTGTTGTTTGTTATTGCCAGAAAGTCAAAAGTGATGGATCTGTCAGAGCCTTTTTTTCCTGAATGGAATGGGGGTGAAAATATCCAAGTCTGCTAGCATAAATGTTAAGATTAAACATTATTATAAATTCCTTCCCAAGCATTTACCAGCAACGCTGTTGGCTTTGTAATAATTTGTAGTGGTGTATATGCCCGCTACTTCATCAGTAAGCACTGAGACAAGGAGGATTACTTTTGTTAGTCATATTTGATTGTTTCCGAACTGAGTCAGCTTCTTGATGGGCTAAAGCATCTCTCCTCAGTGAAAAGGGTTCCTTGCATCTCTAGAGCAATTTTCAGTAGCTGGAAGCCTCTTTCATAAAGCTATATTTTAAGCTACAGCTTTTGGGCCTTGTTATTGTAGATGTGACTTTTTTCTTCTCCACTGTTTAAAGAGCCTTTTGTATCGCATCTGTTCCCTATATTGCTACTTTAGAGAACACTTAATCGCTGTCAGCTGCTTGAACAAACTAAGTTGATAGAACTTTTTGCCTTCCTGCTAAATAGGATTGCTAGGCTTGTTCCAAGTTACCTTAAGAGCTTCAGTCTCATTCAAAGAATCTTTTCTGAAGTATGAATTCTACAATGGGATGTAGTATATAATGTGGTCTGTAGTGGTCACTTGCAAAGCTTCTACTAAATGTGGTGTGTTCCTTCGCACAGTGGTCCACAGTTCTTAGGCATCTTAGGTATTTCCTCTTACTGTTTCTTGACTTCCTCTTACTCTTCCTTGAGTAGTGGGTCTTGCATAATCCCCAAAATAGATGTGCAAGTTGAGGAGGCATCTGTCCTTCCTCTAAGAGGGCAATAAAGCTATTAGGGACAACCCCCAAAAGTTGGATGTTTACCTAGAATGCAGCTGTGAGACTGAGAAGGAAGCTCCTTCCTTGCCCCACGCTGTCCTCTGGCATTGTGCTGCAGTGGGAATATTGTGAGAACCTTGACGTGCTGCCATGGAATGAGCTTAGTTCTTCCAGTGACTCTTTCGAACCTCATTCTTGCTGTGTTATGGTTCCTGCCACAGTGTCAGCTTAACTGCTGCCAATCTGGGCAAGTTGCAGCTATTTTGCTCTATTTGTGAAAAATGTAAGTCATTTAAGCAGTCTCCAGCTCAAAGAATTAACTTCTGCCTGTTTGCTTGCCTTCAAACTAGATGAGCAAGCTGTGGGATTATGGCAGAAGATTGGCACTTTGGGGTGAAGGAGGTGGTTGGCTGTGAAAAGCTTTCTGCTCCATGGGGAGCAATGAGGCAGCATTCAGGAGGAGAATGGAGGAACAGCCCTAGCTTCTGCAAAGACGAGATGTCAGTTCACCCTTAGCGTCCTGTCCTCTTTAAGACAGGAGCTTGCTTGACAAATTAAGCTTTGTCGCCATCTGCCTTGATTAAAAGTTGAGCCCTTCCAGTTACAGTCTCCCTGTGGAGCTATGGTAGACGCCTCTGGCGATGCAGGGGCCGATATGCAAACAACTGCTAAGAGCTGATGCAAAAGACTGTGTCAGAGGCAGTCAGTCTGTCTGAAAGCTCCTGTCTGAGGCTCTTAAAGACTTTGCCTCTTCTGCTAGTGGTTGTTGTTATCCTAGGTAAGGTACAAACATTACTAAAGTCTCTATACCACTTTCATTATCGTCTCTAATGCTGTCAGAGCAATGTTCACTAATAATTCACTCTCTTGGCAGTATCAAAGCAAAAGTTACTTATTGTAGCAAAGCCTTGCTTTTTTGGGGTGGCTCTTAAGAAGGAGAAAGGAAAACTACTGATGAAAGAATTGCTGTCTCTGTAATGTTCAGAGGAGCTGATGAGAATGATCAGCTGTTTGACTAAGGGCTGTGTAAAATTTCAGGTTAATCTTAGTCAAGGTGACCATGGGACTTTGTGGCACAGGACTGAGAAGCTATAGGTCTCACTGCTCTTCCTGGATAGGTGTCATCGGTGCCTGTAAAATAAGTTTTCAGTTAGACATAGTAATCCTTGATGACGTAAGGTCTTGTGGCAAAGTAAACTTCTGAAGGGTCTGAAGACCTATTAGTAGCTATTTGCAGAACAGTTGCTAGTCTGCCTTAGCAGTGATTTCAGTGGTTTGTGAGAGCGTGTCGTTGCAACTGAACTTATGTTTTCATGCTGGCGATCTAGGCTATTACTGCTTTATACCTCTTACAAATAAGTTGCAGATGATGCTGGAAATCCAGTAGCGGAGACTGTTGGTATTAATAGTATCGCGGTGAAGGGCAACTGTAAGTTGTATAGCGTATTTTTTTTTCTGCCTGCCCGTTACGTACAGTATAATCGACATCCTGCCTACATCCTATCAACAGCCTGCCGTTGCTGGGCAAGGGTGGGGACGTTGCCAGCAGTGTGCCGCACGTGTGCATACCCAGAACCCTGGCCCAGGCAAGACAGGGCTGTCTAGGCTCAGAGCAGTGATGATCAGTGAAGCTGATGCCACCTTGCTGCTCTTTGCAGCTGGTCTCTAGCTGCTGGCCCTCAAGGCTGTCTGCAAGGGGCCTAGGGCTGCTCCTGCTGTGGTGAGATGGCCTTTTGTGATGGTTCACTATGTTAGCTGAAACTGACAAAAATGTGTCAGGCTCCAAAATCTAGTAGTCCTCTATTTCGCTATTTAAGAGGAGACCAGAAGTCTGTCCTTGAGAGGGTATTAACCCTGTGAAGACCCTTGCCTTTGAACATACTGGCTAGCTTTTCCATAGTATGACTGCAAGAAGGGGTCATGCCCAGTATATCTCTTGTGATGTTTTGCAAGACTCCTAAATACCTTGAACTGCAGGTTGTATGGATTCACTGAAGGATTACAGATAGGCCCATTCAAACCAAAAACATTCTTGGAGAGACGAATACTATTTTATGAGCAACAATCCAGGTTAGACAGCAAAGGCTGCGTTCCTTGGAGTAATCTCTCTCTAGAGAAGAGTGTTGCAAAAGGCTGATGTGCTAGGACTAGAGGCAGTAGTACTACATGACTTGGATTTTGTCTAGAGGTTGCATATCAAGGTCTACGTGTATATAACTGAAATGTTTTCTTTCATAGGCTCAAACAGTTCAGGTTGCTGAAGTTGAACCACAGCCGCAGCCACAGACTTCACCTGAACTTCTGCTTCCAAACTCTCTGAAGCCAGAAGAAGGGCTTGAAGTTTGGAAAAGTTGGGCACAGACCAAGAATGCAGAGCTGGAAAAGGAAGCCCAAAATAGGCTAGCCCCTATTGGAAGTAAGTGTCAGGACAATGTTGCCTTTATTTCTTTTCAAGTAGGAATTAGGCAATGACCAAAACATTAGTCGTTAACCTCTCTGTTGGGAGAATACCTTTCTGTTTCATCAGTGATTGTTTTGATTTCAGTTTAAACTTTGAATTACTTTGCAATATTATTGCATGATCCGGCTGCCTTAGAACATGTTTCAAGAGGTATGTTAGCTCTGTGCTGAGCTAGCTTGAGCACCTAGGTAGGTGGCAGTAGAAAAGGGGGTTGTGTGACTGTGATGCATGAAAGAACAAAATGGCTGTGCTTGCCAGTCAAATGGGTAGAACAGTCATGGAGTTGCTGTTTTTCTGTTGCTGCAGGGCAGTGTTTTGTTGTGGACAGGGAGAAAGGAGGTAATCATCATGCAGTTGGCAGGGCAGAGAGTCTTCCTCATGTGTTCTTGCCCATTTATCTTCTAGTAGCTCTGACAGCCTAAGATTTATTTCAGCTTTCCTTATAACACTGAGAGAGCGAGATAGTCCTGAGCCTGCTGGATAGAGTGGTGAAGCTGGAGAAGTGGAATATCATTCCCGAAAGATCAGGACTCTTGATACGGCTTTGTTCTGTTTTCCAGGGCGTCAGCTGCTGAGGTTCCAGGAAGATCTCATCTCTTCAGCTGTGGCTGAGCTGAATTATGGTCTATGCTTAATGACACGAGAAGCTCGAAATGGTGATGGTGAACCTTATGATCCAGATGTGCTCTACTATATCTTCCTGTGTATTCAGAAGGTAGGGGGGAGGACAGCTGTATGTGCAGCTGAGCTGTGCATGTTGTCAGAATGTGTGGAGAGCGTTCCATTTTTTTTAAAAATGGAGGCTGTGGCTTTTATTGAGCTTCCCAACAATTTCATAGGAAAAAGTCCGTTTGCTAAACGGTAACTTTAAGTGCAGATAGTCTGATATCTAACTAGTAGGCAACAACGCTTCATGGGTTAAGACTGTGAAGAATTGTTAGTAACTGAATTCAGTAGCATGAAAACGAAGTTTAAGGCAAGAACTTAACTTTGTACGATGTGGGAAATTTGGGCTGCCAAAACTAGTGTCCTGGAGGAGGTACAGGAACAGAGCTAAAGTCTGATAGGAAAACCAGGCATCTATTTCCTCATCCAAAAGTCTGAAAGAGCCTAGTGTCCACAGGACAGTCATGTAAAATAACTTCCAGTGAATTCCTTTAAAATGAAAGGTGAAATCTAACTAGCTTTAGTTTTTACGATGTTTTTCCTTCTTGTCTTACCATTGCCATGATAGTAGTTGAGGTTACTTATTTTGTTCTGGCCTCAGCACAAGCATCCCCAAACTCTTCTAGCTGGGACGTATGGATCGAAGTGCTATCCTGTAAAGTGTTCAAATAACTGGATATGCAGGCTCTTAGGATAAAGTCTGGTCTGAAAGGAGTGTACTCACTGCCACTCTACTGGCCCGTGTTGTGTGAATCTCTTACAGTATCTCTTTGAGAATGGCCGAGTAGATGACATCTTCTCAGATCTCTACTATATTCGGTTCACTGAGTGGTTGCATGAAGTTCTTAAGGACGTACAGCCTCGTGTCTCCCCTCTTGGTAAGAACTTACTTCTGTTTAAGAACTTAAAAACTTTCTGGGGTATGGAGTGTTTAAAACTGAACTACGGCATGAGTGTAGTTCTGAACAGAAACCCTTCTCAAGTACTTAATGTCCCTATGACAGATCTCAGATGTTCAGTGTCGACAGTGAATACGGGGGTTATTTAACGTGGCGAGCTCTGGCCCTGATCCTTGTTTGGGATTATTTGTTTATCACTTCTCACCCATTAGAGGGCAGATTGGTGGGACTTTGTGGTGTTGTGAGGTTGGCTTACTCAGAAGTCAGTTGATCCTTGAGATCTGAATCAAGCTTCCTCACCTCAAGTACTAATACATCTTGCCTCTAGCATGTATTGTCACTTTGGGAGTGCTGTCATGTAGCCAGATGGATACAGTCTCCAGGACCAACTAAGCTTCAAAGAGAGAAACAGTGAGTGATTAGTCTCACATGCTGCAGTCGGATGCAGCTTCCCTCAACCCTATGTCTAGAAGATGATGGCGACAGGGGTGGGGGGAGCGAGCAGTTCTTGAAAACATAAAATTTGACAGAGAGCCTAGAGAACTGGAGCAGGAATCACACTATAAGAGAGCAGAAACCTGGTTTCTTATGACTTCATTCCCTTTGATCTGGTTAGATGTCAGTAAAGGAGCTATTGCTTGTGTTCAGAAAAGTATCAGATGTTAGAGACTTGATGGCTGAGTAGCACCATGAGTTTTGGAATCCTTTTGTTTCCACTCTGGCTCTTTGATCTGTGCTTTGTCGTTCCACAAGCTGTGGAGTTCATACTACTGTCTGTTTTTCTGTTTGTTTGTGTATTTGGAGTATAGTATTTCTCCTCTACACAAAAGGAGGGGGGGGTGGAATCTGAGAATCAAAGGATTACTCATGTGTCCAAATACATCACTTGGCACTGTGTGCTGACTAAAGCTGCATGCAGGGCCAAGAGCTGATTTGTTACACTGGCCTGCCTGCTCTCACATATTATTGGATTAGGAGCATCTGCATTGGAGTCAGGCCATTAATTAAAAGCTGTTTAAGTACATTATTTATTTCTATCTGGTCTGAGATGTATAGATGTACTGCAGGAGTACATTCTCTATAACTTGAGACTGACCTATGTATATAAGTATGTATATAAGTCTTTCCTAACAGTATCTGCTATTAAAAAAAAAAAAAAAAGCCTCGCATAGCAGTGAATGTGGACATCAGTGAGAATCTCTTCCTCCTTCCTTTAAGATTCATACGTTGTCTCATGCTTAAAGTGCTGCCTAAGTTCCTGCCCTAACCGTCTCCTGGCATGATGCTGATTTCTGGTTATTGCAGGTTATGTCCTTTCCAGTCACGTAACAGAAGAGATGCTGTGGGAGTGTAAGCAGCTAGGAGCTCACTCCCCTTCCACCTTGCTCACTACACTGATGTTTTTTAATACAAAGTAAGTACTTAGGTCTGGGGAGGGGAGGGTGGGGCTGATTGGTTTGTTTTGGATTTGTAATAAAGGAACTTCACATACCTTGACAGGGTTGGAAGGAAACTGCTGCCTTAGATTACAGTAAGATTATGAATTTTGAACGGTTGTACACAGAGTCCTCTTGCAGCCCCATCAGGCAAAGCAGTTGCAGTGCAACAAGGATTTGAGCTAGCAGAGGGGAAATTGAACTGCTGGCCTTTGCATGCTTTGCTGGTGGAGCAGTGTCTAACTGTGCTGGTTTGACTTTGACTGCTCCTCTGGCCCGTGATAAATAACGATAACTACCTCATTGTTGTGACTGTTACTTTTTGCTTGCCTCTGAATGTCCTGTGTTCTCTTCTTGCTGCTCAGATACTTCCTGTTGAAAACAGTAGACCAGCATATGAAGTTGGCCTTCTCTAAGGTGTTGAGGCAGACCAAGAAGAATCCTTCTAATCCTAAGGATAAAAGCACGAGTATCCGCTATCTGAAGGCTTTTGGCATACACCAGACAGGCCAGAAAGGTAGTATGTACAAGTTTTCTCTGGAAATTTTTTTTTTTAACTGAGCTTGGAGCCAATATGCTGTTGGCTATAAGGGTTTCTGAACAGGGGGAGAAACTTCTTTGGGATGACTTCTCTTGTTGGAAGTACTTGAGTCTTGTGTGAACCCGCATAGAGCCCATACATAAATAGTTCTGCCCTCCTGAAGGCATGGACCCAGACTTTGCTGGCTCAGACACTGCATTTTCGGTAGTGAAGTGTCTTTTGTTTTGGGCGCGAGTAGAAGAGAAACATAAAGGTGGGTATGGGCTGTGGTGTTCAGTGGGCCTGGGATAAAGCAAGTTCTCTGTTTAATGTTTTGAGCATTTATAACCAGGCAGCTCCGCCTGGGAGCAGCAGTATACCTCTTGCCAGCTACTGCATGGTGACAAAATGCTTCTGAACGCTGAGGCTCTTTGACACTGCTCAATTTGTCGTACTTCTCATGCAGAGCATCTGACAGACTTCGGGGGGCGGGGGGGGTTGGTTTGTAGTTACAGATGACATGTATGCAGAGCAGACTGAGAATCCAGAGAACCCCCTGAGGTGTCCAATAAAGCTGTATGACTTCTACCTCTTCAAATGGTGAGAGCTCCTGTTCTGTTACGTGGTTGCTTGTGTTCTGTGACTGGGTTAAACTGTATGTTGGGTGTCCAGCTGGCCTAGTTTTCAGGGCAGCATTTTGTTGCTGGCACAGTTTCTGCATTTACCTAAATGTGCGTAGATGGGGAGGGGCATTGATGTGCGAGCGGTGTTTGGTCTGTTGTCACATAAAATAACATAACTGGAACCTCTTTGGTATTTAAAGAGACAAATCCTGACTTGTGAACTGGCTGCTGTTAATCTCGTATTCATTCTGAAGATTTGCTGTGTTGGCCTAAGCTCACTGTTCTGCCTGTGACTTCCAAGAAAGTCATCTGGAAGCATCCTCTACTTAAGATGAGATTAGGGTCCTATTTAAATTAACTTTTAAAACAAAAATAAGCACTTCCTTTAGAAACAGGAGGGAGCCTCAGAGGACTCGCAATCAGATTCATGATAATTTAGATGCTAGTGTAAATGTTCTTCTTTATAGACAGCTCTGTAGCTAGCCCGGATGTGAAAACACCGTATTTTTGCTTCACTCTGAAAGACCTTTAAGGTCAAATATTTGTTATACTTGCTAGTGTGAAATAAAAATTACTTTCTTGTAATTGTCCTTGGCATGACCCAAAAGCCCTGGGACCGCTGCTGCCCCTAGGAGTAACTCTGTACCTACAGAACAAGAACCTTCACGTGTCTCATCAGCCAGCTAGCTGTTCACTGTCAGGATTTGTGAAGCCTGGGATGAGGACATCAGTGGTCTCTCTCCCAGGACGTGCTGTTAGTCTGGTTGTTTCTGATCTTCCTCACGCAGCCCCCAGAGTGTGAAAGGCCGGAATGACACGTTTTACTTGACTCCGGAGCCAGTGGTGGCCCCCAACAGCCCTATCTGGTATTCCATCCAGCCGATCAGCAGAGAGCAGATGGAGCAGATGCTCACCCGGATCCTGGTGATACGAGAGATTCAGGAAGCTCTTGCCGTGGCTAACGCCAGCACCATGCACTAAGGCATCCTTCTTGGCTCAGAAGGGGTGGGGCGGGGTGACGGGGGAGGGACAAGCAAAGATAAATTGTACAGACTTTTACACTAAAGGAGATGCCTAAGTTTTTGGTTTTTTTATTGGTGTAGTTATGAAGCCCTTTTAGGCTTCTTCTCTTTAAAAGAATCTAAAGGAAAACCTACCCATTGTGTATCCTACCCAACACACCAAACTGTTGGAACCATTGGAGGCTGCATATCCCCTGCAAGCTGGGAGCTGTGGAAAGCTGCTGGTTGACTCTGTTTTTTTTATGATGTAGAAAATGCGAACTACAGGATTGGCCTGGATGGCTGGGGCCTCTGTCTCCTCGGAGCCTGTGCAGCCTAGAGGGCACAGAATGATGGATGGACCTGCCCAGCCAGTGGAGGAGAGGCAGGCATCTCTTCTTTTCTTGTGCTTGGACGTTAATTTGCTGTTATCTTGGAAGGAAGAGGAGAGAGTGAACTGCAATTGTGATTTATAAGAGGAAAAAAAAAAAAAACAATTTCTATTCAGACCTTTAAATGACATTTTTAGATGTTAAAAGTACAAACTTTACCACACTCTTCTTTTTTGGCCTGACATTGAGGCCTTAAACCTTGAGGCTCCTGTGCCTGATGGAATTCTTGTAACATACACTTGTGTATCATATAAAGATACCACCCTGTTTCTCTTATGTATTCTTACTCTAGTTGTTTATTAAGAATGACGAGCACGTCTTTTCAACATGCCATTGAACAATGTGTCTTTATTTGGGGAAGAGTGAGCTGTGAGGGTGGGGGGGACATTATACAAAGATCAGTATGCAATCTGGTTGTTTTCATCCCTGTTTGTGCTTTCCAGCTTGAGTCTGCTGGACTTCTCTCACCCCTGCAAATTAGGAAAGTAGAAAGGGATTAACTCCTGTTGAAGGACCTGGATGTCTGCTTGCTGACGGAAGCTCAGTGTCAGGCTAGGAAGATGGAATGTGTGACACCAGATCAGACTGGCGGTCTGTCCTGGTGTTCTGTGGCCAGCGTGTGAGGCTTCACTTCTAGGTAAATCCTCCTCTCCCCACTTTTACAAATGCACCGCACTAGCTGCATGGTGGAGGGGTGTTGGAGGGAGAAGGCCTGCCAGGAGCAGCACGTGGCTCACTCCTGCCATGTAAGAGCTTTTTCAGAGTTTTTAACACAGCTATGTCGCTTCAGGCATTGTTCATGATCATAAACCCCAACCCTACAGCCTTGCTGCATCTTAAATGGTTGCTACGTTTTATATCATTAATAAATAGTCCGCTCTTTTGGAGCCAGCAGGTAGCCAGTTGTGCTTGAAATGGGAGATCATTCTAGCCAGGCTTATTTTTGCCACCAGCTTCTTGGATGCGGAGAGGTGACTCTGCTTCTTGAACTTGTCTTCCCTGCTGCTTCATCTCATATGTCCCTTCCCTATTCCAAAATATATATATATACATACACATTACAGTTTAAAAAAACAAAACAAAACTTGTGTACAGGCAAACAACTTTTTTGAAGCTTCTGTTGACCAGCACCTGTCTGTATTGCAAAGTAAGATCTGCTTTCTCTGGCTGCTGTGTGGTGTAAATCTGCACGTAGGTTAGGTTAGACCTTGACTGTGGGAGTAGCCATAGTGTTGCTTGCCTCTGTGCTCTTTAATCAGTGTAGAAGTATGTGGGCCTGGAGAGACTTCAAGCTTGTGGTGCTTCATGTTGACATCGGTGTTTATGAGAAAGCAAACGTGTGTAAGTTGGTTGTAAAGACGAGCAGTTTTCTTCCCTATCTAGGACTGTGCTCAAATAAGTGCAGAGAGGTAAGGTAGCAACTAGCTGTTGCTTACTGATACCTGCACTCTAAAGTAAACTTCTAGCTTAGTCTCCCCCCTCAGTTTTGTGAGGGGAAGATAGCATCAGGTTGGTACCCATGTCCCAATGGGTATGTTAGGAGGATAGGACCAAGCGCTGTGTAGTGCTGGCAACACCTAGCCTCAACTCAGTTCAACCCCTGGGAGCCATCAGTTGCCCTCCTGGTAGGGTGACTGTCAGGATCAGTAATACTACACCAGCTGTAAGAAGTCTATAATCCCTTCACCATATTTTAGTGACCGAAATGTCCATCTCTGGCCCTAACTTAAGTATTTAAGGACATGGTTAGGGAGCAGCTCCCACTGTTCCAAGCAGCTGGGTGTGCTTGTTGCTCAGGATGCCTAGCAGGCCTGCACAGAGTGGATTTCCCATTCTTTTGAGCAGTTTGTCCTGTCTTCTGAACAGAGATGTCATAATGGGAGAGAAACTGCAGACTAAACACCTGTGCCCAAGTCCCTGTGTGTGTTCTGCAAGATCGCATGTGAAACCAGCTCCAGTGTGCCTGGACTTCAATGTGAGCCTGCTGCTTTGTCTAGCTCCACTGGAAATGCAGCGGGTTTTAAACTCGTCTGCCGGGTACTAAATGTACAAGGCACTTCATTAGGTGGCTTTGGGAGTCACCTCTTATGCTAAAAATTGTCAGAACCTGGAACAACTTGACAGAATATTAGGGCAGTTTCAGGTCAGGGTTGAGCAGATACGATAGCAGAGCTGTCTGGGGAAATAAAATTCCATGTTGCCTAAAAATTCTAGATTGTGCTCTTCACTTACTACTGTTAACAGCAAAATGATCTAAAATATTAGGAGGGGAAGAGTTCTGCTTGGTCTTGAGGAGCATAGCTCTGAAGAGTTGGGGAACTTGGCACCTAGTAAGCTGCAGAGGTCTCTTAATGATTGGTTTTGTCCTGACAAACTGAAATGTCTCCATTGCTTTCTCATTCTTCTGACATATATAGGAGATGAGTTCATTGACTTGAAAGTGGACTGGTGTACTGTTTTGTACTGTCTCATCAAAACGTCCACTGTGTTAGTTTCATTCCCTATTTTTAGAGACAATCGATATACTGTGACTTAAGGATTTTTTTTCTGGATATGGCTTCTAGTCTGGCTCTCTGGAGCTAGTTGAAAAGGTACCGTATTTCTAGAATATAAATACTATGTTCTTTGATAGTGAAGAACATGATCTGTTCCCTTTTAGGGACTCATAGGAAGACGTGCACAGAGTAGCACAGAAGAGTGCTGTGGCTTAGAGTTGCTGTCCAAGTTCTGGGAAATGTTCCCAGTCAAACATGTAAAATAGCTTTTTAACACTTTCCTATAACCAGCTTATTTGACTGCTGCTTAAAGGGTATTCCACCTAGGCCCCAAGAGTGCCAAATTGCTAGCTATTGTATGCGTGTATATATTAAACAAGAACTCTCCATGCCCTTTGCCTTGTATGAGACGGAGGCTGAAAATGCATCAATCTCTAAACTAAAGCTGAGAAAAGGCGAACTAGAGACCCTGCATTGTTGGTTTCATACTATGCCCATCTTGTCTCTGTGGTGTGAAAGGAACTGTAGAAAGCAGAGTATGACTGACTATTGTAAAGCAGCTCACGTTCTGACCCTAGACTTGTGTATTGTCCTGTCTCTTGACACTAATAGCGTCGCTTTTCTGCGGTAATTTGTAGCCTCTTACACACTTGTCCACGGCACCATTAGATTTGCATTTATTTTTGAGAGTTCAAGCATTTTCTTTAAATGGTAATGGCTGAAGCAGTGGAGAGCAGACTAGAGAGCGGTT